TGTTTACATTGATAGTGCCATTCAAGCTTTATACCATAGTCAAGGAAATAATATGATAATGATGCTCAAAATGAATCTTAACATTTTGCTAGAGTTAAATTTTCCAACTCGTACTCAGGCAATGTATACGTTTCAAAAACCGTATCATTTTAGTAACATTTTCTAATTAGAATTGCTATGCACATATTTTGCTTATCCACTCCATGGGGGTAAAAGCAGCATTATTTTTATTAGGTAGGGGTATGTGTGGGGCATTTTATTTATTTATTTATTTATTTATTTATTTATTTATTTATAATTATTGTGTAATTTACTTAATGGGCTTTAGCATGAGTTTTTGAAAGGTATCGTGACTATAAGCAAATTGATAGGAAAGTGGATAACAATGAATTAAAGGTTACTGGCAGCCTAAGACACTGTTTATCTCTTTTGAGGTAGACAGAATTCAAATTGCCTTCATTAGCTGAGCAATATGCTGAGGAAAATGAGCTGGGTACTTATCAAGAGACTCTTTCATTTGCATTTTTGCTAAATTATCAAGCTGCTCTGTTTTCTAGGTGCTTAAGAACTGTGAATAGGAAAGAAAGACAATTTTTCAGTTAAGTAAGCTTGGGGGCATTTGAGGGATGGAGTAAAGAAAAGAAAAAGTTTATCAATGAAGATGTCAGAATTGGGCCTTGTATATATGTGATACAAAAAAATAATCTAACAGACAGGATCTGGGACGTACAAATGCATTAATTCTCCGCACATTCACCAGTACCACAGCAAAGCTAGAGGCTGTTCTTTTGATAAATGATCAATACTTCAGCACGACACTACCCTAGCTGTCCTGCTGTTGCTGGTTAAAAGTCTGAATTTCAATTAAGCAGTAAATCTGTATGGTATTACATCTAGAACAGAGAGTCAACTTCTCCCGAATCCCCTAGAATTCTGAAACGCTATTATTTTGTAGTCATTTTCTTTAAGCTCACGCAAAAGAAAAATAATATTTATTTGACCAGTAAAGAAATATTCTCTTCCAAATGAAACACTAAATATTAAATAGTCATTTTGTTTAATAGTATACTTAGGCACAAAAATATTATACTTCTGCAGTAAAAATTAAGAGGCAATCAAATGTATTAATACATAATCTGAGTCAAAAGTCTACTGATGTGATTGCATCCTTAGCTCATATGTTCTGTTTCAGTTCTTTCCACATATATATTCCTTGGGAAACCTCTTAAGTCATGCAAAACACAGAAGCATTCATAACAATGATCACACTTAAATCAGAGTAAACATTCTCATTTCTTACGTTATCTCAAATGTCCCTATAGATGTTTTCGTAAAGCTTTTTGCTTATTTTCTTTTTTTATTATTATTTTTAATTAATTTTTTATTTAAATCCCAGTTAGTTAACATATAGTGCAATACTGATTTCAGGAGTAGAATTTAGTGATTCATCACTTACATATAACACCCAGTACTCATCCCAACAAGTGCCTCCTTAATGCCCATTCCCATTTAGCCCTTCCCCCTTCCCAACACCCTGCCAGCAACCCTCAGTTTTTTCTCTGTATTTAAGAGTCTCTTATGGTTTACCTCCTTCTCTGTTTTTATCTTATTTTTGCTTCCCTTACCCTATGTTCACCTGTTTTGTTTCTTAAATTCCACATGAGTGAAATCATATATTCGTCTTTCTTTGACTTATTTTGCTTAGCATAATACACTCTAGTTCCATCCACGTTGTTGCAAATGGCAAGATTTCATTCTTTTTTGGTCGCCAAGTAATATTCTAGTGTGTGTGTGTGTGTGTGTGTGTGTGTGTGTGTGTGTGTGTGTGAGAGACACCACATCTTCTTTACCTGTTCACCCATTGATGGACATTTGGGCTCTTTCCAAAATTTAGCTACTGTTGATAGCATTGTTATAAACATTGGGGTGCATGTGCCCCTTTGAATCAGGACTCCTGTATCCTTTGGATAAATACCTAGTAGTGCAATTGCTGTGTTGTGAGATAGTTCTGTTTTTAAGTTTTTGAGGAACCTCCATATTGTTATGTTCTCCAGAGTGGCTATACCAGTTTGCATTCCCACCAGCAGTGCCAAAGTATTCCCCTTTCTCTGCATCCTCACCAACATCTGTTGTTGCCTGAGTTGTTTGTGTTAGCCATTCTGACAGGTGTGAGGTGGTATCTTATTGTGGTTTTGATTTGTATTTCCCTGATGAGTGATGAGCATCATTTCATGTGTCTGTTAGCCATCTGGATGTCTTTTTTGGAAAAGTGTCTATTCATGTCTTTTGCCTTTCTTCACTAGATTATTTGTTTTTTGGGTGTTGAGTGTGGTAAGTTCTTCATAGATTTTGGATACTAACCCTTTATCAGATATGTCATTTGCAAATATTTCTCCTATTCTGTTGGTTGCCTTTTAGTCTTCTTGATTTTTTCATTTGCTGTGCAGAGGTTTTTTATCTTGGTGAGGTCCCAATAGTTCATTTTTGCTTTTGTTTCCCTTGCCTCCAGAGACATGTCAAGTAAAAAATTGCTATGGCCTAGGTCAAAGAGATTGTTGCCTTACTTATTTTTCTTAGCCTAATTTCTCTGGTTCCATTCACCTTGGATGGACTCTTCTAGGATTTGGGCTTATTGTTTATTTTCAAAAAGTATTTGTTGATGCTTAAAAATACCAGCTAATAGAGGAAGCATCTAAAAAATCTGTGCAGCTTTTTGAGGATTTCAATATTTTAAGAGAAAAATAGGCCATTTGATAGGCACCATCCCCCAAATTAACATGACTTCAGAGCTAGCTAGATTCAAAGTAGCCTTAGCAATTATATCTATTATCAGAATAAAATATAATCTTAGAATTATAATGATTGATATAAAATATAATTTTCTCTGTTTATAATTTTAGAAGAAGTCTTTCCCTGGAAGCAAATGCAGTTTTGCCTCTGTCAGCAAGATTCTACCATTATAAGTGCTATTCTCAGTTATCTGGACTGCAAACATGTATATTAACAATTGACTGGAAGATGCCTGAACTACTCTAGTAGAATGCCAGTGTGATTTTGATAAAAATAAGATAAAAATATTTAATTTTAAATGATTTAAGTATCAAACCAATGTGGGTACTATCACATTACAGATATTTTATTATTGGGTGCTCAGGTATAGACTAAACACGCCTGAACAGAAAGCACCTCTCCTTGCAATGTCCCAGCCCTGCAATACAACATACAGAGTGAAAATAAGCATACGACAATGTTAGAAGCTTCTTTAGCTAATGATCAGTTAGCCAGGAATTAGATGCAGGTCTGCTCAACCTCAAAGTTTTTGGCTTTTCATTCCATGACTATATAGTGAAATCTCCCAACAAACTTGCCATTCATCTCCAAATCAGTTCTTAAAAATGAAGTAATAATTTAATATAGTCAATATACCTATTAAAAACAATGCCAAAGGTCACTTTGTGTAACACTAGATATTTTATTTTCTTTTATAAGACAGGAAGAGTTATTTATCATATTTTCTTTCTTTGAAAATTGATGCTATTGTAAATTTAACTCGCCTTAATTCATGCTATCCATAATATGTTTGAATCCTGCATGTTCTCAAAATGCAAGGCTGTTACGCTAATCCAGCTAACTAAACATTCTGGTGAACTAACAAAGCTTAATTTGATGGCTGGGCTTAACTCATCAAGAGGGAATTAAGAGTTTTATTAGCTGATTAGCTGCCATTAAAACAATGCATGCTGTATCTTTTTAAATTTTTTTTATGTTTTTTATTTTATTTTTGAGAGAGGGGTGTGGGGAGGGGCAGAGAGAGAGAGGGAGAGGGAGACACAGGACCTGAAGCAGGCTCCAGGTTCTGAGCTGTCAGCACAGAGCCTGACGCGGGGCTCAAACTCACAAACCATGAGATCATGACCTAAGCCGAAGTCGGCACTCAACTGACTGAGCCACCCAGGTGACCCTACATGCTGTATTTTCAACAGCATTCTACTACTGTGAGAAAGAAAAACATTTAAGTTTTGGTTATAAGAATTCCAAGACATGGCTGCTTATGAATCTTATAAATCTAGGATCCTATATGAATATTTTTGAAACATAAAATTAAAGTATGGATTATTGTCTAGGAAGAAACACAGACTTCTTATCTGAAGTAGCTTTCCTTTTAGTTATCAAGTTATTTTAAATTTATTTTTGCATATGAGAATAATTATAAAGATAAGAAAACTGATAGACTTGTTGGAATAGATTTGCAAAAAGTGGTTTTGATAAAAGTAAAGATATAATATAAAAATAATAAATTATGTTGTCATATCATATTGGGAGACCACATATGGATATAGAGATGAAAGACAAGAAGCAACATTTTACAAACTCAAGAGGTGAAACAGAAAAGAGAATAACAGAAAAAATGGCAGAAACTATGCCACAAATGTCAATTAAGTTAAGTTTCCAGTGGAAACAGTGGACTAAAGTGTGGGAAAAAAATAGCAGAGTTTCCTTAAGCTGTTAAGTGACATTTTAGAGAAAACAAAATTCAGTCTGTTTACAGAACACAGTGTAAAGTTCTAATCTCCAAGCAACAGACCATATGAAAAACTAGCATTGTCTAATGACCCATACAAATTCTTATTCTAAAATGTTATTAAAAAGGCTCACATAGTGTTTTATATTTTTAAAAATGAATTTAGAATTGACACCTTAAACACTGGTTAAATTGGGCACCTGGGTGGCTCAGTTGGTTAAGCTACTGACTCTCAATTTCAGCTCAGGTCATTATCTCATGGTTCCTGAGATCATGCCTGGTGACAAGGTCTGTGCTGATAGGTCTCCTCCTACTTGGGATTCTCTTTGCACCACCATTCCGCCCACACCCCCGGCTTGCACTCTCTCTCAAAATAAATAAACATTAAAAAAAGTTTGTAAATCAGTCAATTACTTGGGCATTCCAAAAACAAAAATAAAAAGAGAAATATTTGCAATGAAAAAAGCCACGCACTTACCATCATGATTAGGATTTCCTAGTGTCCATGGCTCATCTGAGTCAAAATGAGTATCTCCCCCAATTCCAGGTCCAGGGAAGTAGGCATGCGCCAAAAACCCTCCCTCTCCATCAAAGGGAGAACTGTCTCCATGAAAACCAGAGGCGAAAATGATGGTTATATCCACATCGCGTTTGCCATTTTCTAATTCACTGTAAGGAACTTCTTCAAATGTCAGAGGAGTCACATTCTGCCACACATCAAAGGCACGGCGAATAGCTTTCCGGGTTTCAGGGTCTCCAACTTTTGGAGTGACGTTCTTTATACTGAAATTTAGAGAAGAGAATAATGAGTATGGCTTTTTAATATATAGTTCAACTTATTACAGATTTCAGTCTATTCAGTTGAGTAAAATACTAGAAAAACAGTCATATTAAATAAGAAAAAAATTAATGAATGTCTCATGTCTTTATAGCTAGATTTCACCACACTGAAGTCATTTAATTCTCAATAATATAGTATCCATCCACCAAGGCGAAAAGTGAGAAGTTCTTCTCTGCAGAATGCTTAACAGGGGAGTAATTAGATCAATCAGTCACTTTGCCTCCTGAACAACAGAAAAGCAGCTTTGCCAAATGACCAAACAGGTGCAACAGTTTCGAGCTGAAATTAAAAATTCAATTTCTTTCTGGCTATCATTACTTTTAAGGGCACATCATGGTGTGCACACATGTTACTTCCAAACAATGTCCTTATGTTATTTTTTATCTACAAACACCAATTCAGCAGATGCAAAGTTATTTCTTAGTTTTTAAAGGAAAGGTTATTACAGTTTCTATTGTTTTCTTATAGTACATTAATTCTTTCTAATTATAAAAAGCAATGTGAAGCACTGGGTGTTGTATGGAAACCAATTTGACAATAAACTTCATATATTGAAAAAAAATAAATAGATATGATAAAAAAAAAGCTATGTGAGTGAATAGCTTTTTAATACAAATATTTCACAATTATATTAATTTAAAGAAGTAACTTGGACATTATTTTAATTTTTTTGACGTTTATTCACTTTTGATAGAGAGAACAGAGCATGATCTGGGGAGGGGCAGAGAGAGAGGGAGACAGAATCCAAAGCAGACTATAGGCTTTGAGCCATCAGCACAGAGCCTGACATGGGGCTCGAACTCACTGACCACTAGATCATGACCTGAGCAGAAGCTGGATGCTTAACCAACTGAGACACCCAGGCACCCCAGTAACTTGGACATTATTTAGTCTACTTTTCTTGAGTCCAATAACAAATGGATACTTCCATCAACAATCTTACATCCATGAGTCCATATATTTAAGCAAAAAAAAACCTTAATACATAAAAGAGACTATAATATTTAAGTAAATGTTTATTGCAATGCAGTAATAAAAGAGAGCTGAAGGCTAAACACTTACAATGATATAGCAGTAGTAAAATTATGGTGTCTCTATTATATATCATAATATACATAGTACTCAAAGTTATTTTTTTCTACTTTAAGGCTATTTAGCAGCATAGAAAAAAATTAAGATATACTTTCTGGTGGAAAATAATATACAGATTATATTTTTAGCCCACTTGTAGGTATGTCTCAATAATTACAAATGTGAGGCAGATATCATGCTGAAACAATAATAATGGTATTAACTGAGCATTTACTCTGAGCCAGCCAAGCATTTCACAGTATCTGATTTAACGCCCTGAGCAACCCAAAGAGATGGGTGTTTATACCTGTTTTACAAAGAAAGAAGCTAAGATTCAGAAAACTTCAGAGAAAATTTAGAGTGGCAGAGCTGGTGTTTCCACTTAAACATTCTGCTCAAGAATGCACTGTCTTCTATTCTAAGCTGGACCTCACATCTAAGACAAGGTTTTCACTATTTTCTAATACATATTTACATTGACTATTTGATGGTAAATTTCACTGTATTAAAAAAAAATACAAAAAACAAAAACATGAGGAAGCAAACCAGGTGGAAATAGAATGGGACCAGAGAGCATTCCAGACAGGAGATGACAAGTGGAAGGGCTTGAAGCTGGAGACAGTCTTGGAAAGTACCAAGAATGGTGAGGTGGCCACGGCTAGAGAGGAGGCCAGAAGATCAAAGGTTTTGGCCACTGTAAGGAGTTTGGTTTTTGCTCCAAGTGAGAGGGGAAGAAGTGGGACATCAAGAGCTAAGTAACATTTGAATTACACTTTTTTTAAGTAAATGATTCAGCATCGTGTCAAAAATCTATTGAAACAGAGCAAGAGTTGAAGCAGGGAGACCCGCTGGAAACTCCTGCAAAACTTCAGGTGAAAGATGGAGGTGAAAGTGGAGGCCAGGGGACTGCAGGTGGAGATTCTGAGAAGTAGATGGATTTGGGACAAATTTTGAGGACACGCATTCCAAGATACACTGATGGCTGGACACAGGCCGTGAAAGAAAAGGAGGTGCCAAGCAAGACGCCATGTTTTCTGAACTGAACCACAGGCCGGATAGAATAAAACAATTCAAGCCTGTTCAGGGAGAATGTTATACAGTATTTTGTTGTTGCCTTACTTGTTTGTTTTAACTTTACATCCCTTCAGTGTGATGATCTGAACTCCATTTTGAGAAAGGGTAAATTTCTAGATTAAGATATGTGGTGCTGCTTTTGTCTGGCTTGTTAGTCTCTAAATTTCCTGCCTGATGGCTGAAGAACGTTCAGATTAATGTCGTAACTCTGAATTTTATCTAAGTTAATTTTCCTAGTAGTCTTCTATCTTATTCCCAACCTACAGGGTCTCAGAAGACCCTCATTAGTGGGGAAGTCTTTTTATGACACATTCTTTGAAAGAACACACTACATATATGGCTACTGTTCTATGTGCCAGAGATACAGCTTTGAAGAAGAGTCTGCTTCAGTGATAAGAGATAAACAAACAAAAAAAACCCCAACAACATCAAAAAGATAATTACAGATGGTAGCAAGTGAAAGTTGAGGAGGTGAGGTCAGGTCAGTAGATAATAAATGCGAATTCAATGACTTGCTTAGCGAGCACACAGTTTCCAGCCACAAGGAATAGTGAGCAGCCCCCACACACTTGGCCAGTTCAAAGAACGGGAGTGCTCTGTGAATTGGCGTAAAATGAACACTCAGGACAGTGGTATGAGATGAAAGAAAACTGGCAGGAAGTGGGTTATATTCTGTGAAAGGAGAAGCAGAGAAGTATCCTGGTATTATTCTAGTTTACAAAGACCACTATGTCTAATGAAAAATGGATAAGAAGACAAGAATGGAAGCAAGGCAACATTTCAGAAGTTCAAGCAAAGGAATACAGAACATTGTACTAGAATGGTAGTCATGGAGATAGGAAGAATTACACTATTTCAGTGAAAGTTCTGAGAGTACTGTTAGTGGGAATTGGTGTTTTATTCAGCGTGTAATGGAGAAATTATTTTGTTTTAAAAAAGAAAAAAAATCATTAGTATGATATGTATATAAGTACATAATGGTTCTGAGAAAAATGAAGCGACATAGTAAAGAATAATAAATGTATGGGGCGCCTGGGTGGCGCAGTCGGTTAAGCGTCCGACTTCAGCCAGGTCACGATCTCGCGGTCCGTGAGTTCGAGCCCCGCGTCAGGCTCTGGGCTGATGGCTTCGAACCTGGAGCCTGACTCGATTCTGTGTTTCCCTCTCTCTCTGCCTCCCATGCTCTGTCTCTCTGTCCCAAAAAAAAAAAAACAAAAAAAAAACATTGAAAAAAAAAGAATAATAAATGTGAAGTGTCATTTGATTTGTAAACACATCACTGTGTGTCAAAGCTATGCCCTGATTGGCGTCCAAAATATACTGAACCACAATATTTGTGATGCCACTAACAAATACAAGACACATGAGTGCACTTCAAAGTTAGAGTTCCGAACAATGCACAAACAAAAAAAAAAATTTGGAATTTTTATGCCATTGAGATGTAGTTTGTACTTACTAATATGAAATAATAATGAACACAGATATATGATATCAACAATAATAAGACGGTCATTCTTAGTAGTTCTAACGATGCTCAAAATTATTAAGATACATATTTGCAAAACAAAAAATGCTATAAAATGAAGGTTATGCTTGAAAAACTTAATAAAGCTAATTTAATTTTAAAATGTTTTTACTTTGCTTTTCTGTGAATAGAATAGTTATAATGAACATACTTTTTTGTTTTTTTGGTCTTTTTAAATATTTATTTTGAGAGAGAGAGAGAGAGAAAGAAAGAGAGAGAGAGAATGTGTGTGTGTGTGTGTGTGTGTGTGTGTGTGTGTGTGCGCACAAGTCAGGGAGGGGCAGAGACAGAGGAAGAGAGAGAATCCCAAGCAGTCTCTGCACTATCAAAACAGGGCCCTATGTGGAGCTCCAACTCAGGAACTGTGAACTCACGACCTGATCTCAAGTCAGAGACTTAACCGACTGAGCCACCCAGGCGCCCCGAACATATTTTTCATTCTAATAAGACAACTGATTTCATTTTTTGGAAGGCTTTATCAGTTTTTTTCATTATGCCATTTCACTGATTCTTTTAAACTTTCATGTTGCTAAATTTTGAAACTTTTACCTAAAAAAATTAATAAATGTTATCTTTAATGACCATGCCTTATAAAATACTATAATAAAACTGATCAAATGGGCATTTTTTGACCTCTTTATTCATCAGAACAATTGGTAGTGAAACATGTCAATTGACTTATAAGATAACTGTGTCAAGTCAGGATTCCCTAGCTTTAACTGCACTGAATCCATGCCAATTCATTTAATAACAATTCTACATACTAATCATGGAGTATTTCCCTTCAGTGTTTTCATAGAGTAATAAATCTTTTCCAAAGTTAGAGCATTATTTTATCTCTAATATGAAAATAAGAAAAAAACCTATATATTTTGGTATTTGTATTGTGTATTAAAAGAAAATTGTACTCTGCCTTATATTTCTCAATAGAAACATAAATCTTACAATGATAAGTCAGATGTTAAGTTCACTATATTTCCTTTAGGATAATTTTTTTAAAAGTGTGAGAATTTAGGGGCGCCTGGGTGGCGCAGTCGGTTAAGCGTCCGACTTCAGCCAGGTCACGATCTCACGGTCCGTGAGTTCGAGCCCCGCGTCGGGCTCTGGGCTGATGGCTCAGAGCCTGGAGCCTGTTTCCGATTCTGTGTCTCCCTCTCTCTCTGACCCTCCCCCGTTCATGCTCTGTCTCTCTCTGTCCCAAAAATAAATAAACGTTGAAAAAAAAAAAAAAATTTAAAAAAATAAAAAAAAAATAAAAGTGTGAGAATTTGA